AGCTGATGGAGTGGTGAGAGCCCAGTCTGACAGTCCCGTATGCAAGCACTAGGGCAGCGTAGAGGTCCCTGCCCTCTCAAGAGCCCCTCAATCTAATGGCAGGCGTTTAACTTTGTGGTTACAACCTGCAGGGCCTGAGTGGTGATGGGGACCGCAGGGGCAGGTGGGGTCTGAGAGGAGTCCTCTGACCAGCTTTGTCAGGCCCGCTTCAGGAGCTGGGTCCTGAAGGGTGCTAGGGAGCCATTTGAGGTGCAGGGATAGAGCTGTCTGGAAGGGGTTGGGCCCTGCTGATCCTCCCCGGTCCCTGACCCTGCAGAAATGCTTTCGGGGACGAGTACTACGGCACAATGGAGGAGGAGAAGCCACAATTTGAGGAAGAGGAAGGGTTCGAAGGTGAGGTCACTGGGTGGGGGTGGAGTGCTGGGCCTGAAGCCTGAGGTCCCAATCCTGAGCCCCCTGGGCTCATCCCTGTCTGTCTGTCCTCTGGAGCCAGATCACTGGAACTGGGACACGTGGACTGGGCTGGAGCAGGGTGGAGATTGGAGCCAGCAGGAGCTGCACTGCGAGGACCCAGACTTCAATGTAGGTGCCATGGGGAGGCGGGGTGGGCTGCCCTGGAAAGTCCCAAGGGCTGCGAGGGCTGGCCTGACCTGCATGTCTTGGCAGATGGATGCTGACTACGACCCCAGCCAGCCGCAGAAGAAGCAGCGTGAGGCCCCCTTAACGGGCAAGAAGAAGCGCAAGTCACCCTTTGCTGCAGCTGTGGGGCAGGAGAAACCTGTGTTCAACCCCAGTGAGGCTCTGTGGGCATTCCGTGGGCGAGCAGGGGCTCCGCAGGGCCAGCACACACAGCAGCCCAGTTCTCTACCCACACAGGGGACAAGACCTTTGAGGAGTACCTGGACGAGTATTACCGGCTGGACTATGAGGACATCATCGACGACCTACCCTGTCGCTTCAAGTACCGCACTGTCGTGCCCTGTGACTTCGGGCTCAGCACAGAAGAGGTAGGGCCCCAGGCGGGTGCGGGACACTGGGAGGCACCCAGGAGGCAAGAGGGAGCGCAGAGCCAGTGGTTGCTGCCACAGGACCTGTTTCCTCATGTCAGAAATGATAGGACTACCCTGGCCAGGTGGCTCAGTTGGTTAGAGCATTGTCGATACACCAGGGTTGCGGGTTCGATCCCTGGTCAGGGCACATAGAAGAATCAGCCAGTGACTGCATGAATAAATGGAACAACAAGTAGATGTTTTTCTCTCTCTCTCTCTAAATTCCATAAGTTAAAAAAATACAGGAATAATAGTGCTAATGACAGGACTGAAAAAAATACAGGAATAATAGTGCTAATGACAGGACTGAAATTTCCTACCTCAGAGGGTTTCCATGAGATGGGGAGGTAACTGCTGGCCCCTGTGCAGTCAAAAATATGCATATATATATGGGCAAACTGCTGCCTCGCACAACCACTTGAAGACTCAGTTGCCCCCAACTGCCCTCCCCTGCCTTCCCCAAAAACTTTATAGTTGGCCCTTCATAGCTGTGGGTTTCACATCTATGGATTCAACTTTTGCAGATGCAGGCTGACTATATTAATAGCCTATTGTTGACTGGGAGCCTTACTGATTCCATAAGCAGTTGATTAACTTATATTTGTATATTATACACATTATGTACTGTATTCTTACAATAAAGTAAATAGGGGGAAAATATTAAAAAAATTATAAATATTAGTCAAAAACCTGCATATAAATGGACCCATGCAGTTCAAACCGTGTTGTTCAGGGGTCAACTGTACCTTTAATTCTGTTACTATTCTCTCTGCAGCAGGGTGGCCTTTAAGACTAGATGGGCTCTGGAACCAGATGCCCTGGATTCAAATCCTGCCTTAGCCACTCATCAGCTGTGTGACCTTGGACTTGGGCTCTGTACCTGTTTCCCATCTATAAAACAGGCCTAATGACAGCCCCTACCTCATGTCCCTGAAGCTGAAACGATGTGTGGCTCTTTATTTTATTTTTAATATATATATATATATATATATATTTAAATATATATTTCAGAGAGGAAGGGAGAGGGAGACAGAAACATTACTTAGGAGAGAATCATTGATTGGCTGCTTCCTGTGCGCCCCCTACTGGGGATTGAGCCTGCAACTCCAGCATGTGCCCTGACTGGAATTGAACTGTGACCTCCTGGTTTATAGGTCGACACTCAACTGCTGAGCCACACTGGCCGCACCCATGTGTCACTCTTTAGATGGCACTTGTCCCTTAGCTATCCATGTGGCTGTCAGTGCTTGACTATTCATGGTCAGTTAAAATAGCTGCTGTCGCCCAGCTGGTGTGGCTCAGTGATTGAACATGGACCTATGAACCAGGAGGTCACGGTTCAATTCCAGGTCAGGGCACAGGCCCTGGTTTCGGGCTGGATCCTCAGTAGGGGGCATGCAGGAGGCAGCCAATCAATAATTCTCTCTCAGCATTGATGTTTCTATCTCCCTTACCATCGCTGAAATCAATAAAAATATGTTAAAAAAACAACTGATGTCTATTGAGCTTATACCATCTGCATTTACTCAATCTTCTAAACAACCTTCTAATAGGTTCTGAGGGGATGCCCACCTCATAAATGAGGAATCTGAAGCCTGGAGGCAGGAGCCTGGAGGTTGAGAACCTGGGCCTTACCTGTAATTAGCAAATCTAGTGCTTGGCATAGAGGTCCCTGCCCTGAGGCTGCTGGGACCATGGTGCATGGGTGAGGGCTACAGGGCCCTGGAATCTGAAATCAGCCACTTCCTGGCTGCATGACTTGGGGCAAGGAACCCCTTTCTGAACCTGTTTCCCTATCTGTTGTCCTCTGCAAAAAACATTAGCCTCCACAGACATCAGTTCTCCCCCACCATCATGACATCCCTGCTGGGTGGTACCAGCATTACCCTGCTTTGACTAATGAGGTGACTAAGGCTTAGAGTCAGAGCCCCCCCAGGGCTCACGCAGCAGGACCCCTCTCCCTTCCCATGCAGATCCTCGCTGCTGACGACAAGGAGCTGAACCGGTGGTGCTCCCTGAAGAAGACCTGCATGTATAGGTGACGGGTGGGGCTGGGCCACGTGTTTGGGAGGAGGGGCAGACAGGCAAGCATGGACATCTCCCTGAGCACCCAATGACACGCGTGTCCGCTGGGCACCCAAAGGTCGGAGCAGGAGGAGCTGCAGGACAAGAAGGCGTACAGCCAGAAGGCCCAGAACTCATGGAAAAAGAGGCAGATCTTCAAATCGCTCTGCTCAGAGGAGTGAGTGTTGCTTGCCCGGGGAGGGTGGGGTGCCAGGCCAGGGTTTGAGTCTTGCTCTGTCAGCTATTTGTTGCATGACTTTGGGACTGGGCCCTCCCCCTCTCCGAGACCTGGGTTCAAATCCTGGCTGGGCTACAGCTATATAACCTTGGGCAAGTCATTTCCCCTCTCAGCCTATTTCCTCATTTATAAAATGGGGATAAAGATGGCTCATTTCTTGTTGGGTTTTTTTGAGGATTAAGTGAATTCATGTGAAGTGCTTAAAACATAGTAAGTGCCGCTGGGTTTTAGCTATTGTTATCATCATGTTATTTCTTGGTCTATACAGCAGGGAGCAGGGGTAACAGGAATTCCCAGAGTTGATTTAAAGATGAAATGAGTTAATTTATGTGAATAGCTTAGTGTAAGCCCAGGCTCAAATACAAGAATTATCAACAACACAGTCCAGCTTCAGGATTCAGTAGAAAAACCCAGTTTTGGTGTCAGACCCGTGTGAATTCCAGGCAGGCACCTGAATTGCTGCGTTGCCATCTATCTGAGCCTCTCCTCTCCTCACCTGTAAAATGGGGGATGTACACTGGGAAGGGGTCTAATTGTGCTGGCCTGGGCTTTCTTCCCACAGGAAAGAGACACCCACGGAAGCCACAGGGAAGCCACAGAGGGACAAAGCCGGCCCACAGGGGCAGCTGCTGGCATCTGATGGGGCCTGCAGGAAGCAGCCCCAGCCTGAGAGCCCCCTAGCACAGAAAGAGGCCGCCCCGGTGTCACCCACAGAGAAGCCAGCCCTCCAGAGGCGGAGGAGGGGCAAGAAGGCTCGACTCCTGGGCCCCACAGTGACTCTTGGAGGACAGGAGTTCAGCCGCCAGAGACTGCAGGCCTTCGGCCTCAATCCAAAAAGGCTGCACTTCCGCCTGCTGGCCCGGAAAAGGAGGAAGCAGCAGGGGCTCAAGAGCTGCCCTTGAGCTTAATGGAGAAGGCAAGGGCCTCAGATTCTCTCCCTTCAAGCAGGCCCCTGAATGCATCCCCTTATTGACTGTACAGACCCACGTGTCTCCCTGTGGGCAAGGGAGAAGTCCCTTCTTACAGATGTGGAAGCTGAGTCTACTCCAGCTCCCCAGGAGACATGGACATACCTCATCTTGACATACCCCCTGGTCCCATCTCTCAAATGCTCTGTCTGGCCATAGCTGAGGTCAAGTCAGACGGCTTTATTGGCCCCAGGCAGCCAGTTCCCACACTGCCACCAGCCCTTAGCAGGACAGGAGCTTTGAGGCCAGTGAGGGCACAAGCAGTCCAGTGCAAACTACAGTACTTGAGTCAGGCCCTGAGTGGGTGCCTGGGAGTCCATCTGCCATCCCTCCCTCCTCGCCCTGTGAGGAGGGCCCAAGTGGCAGGAGGCAGGCCTTTGGGCTCTGTCCCTGGCTTAATGGCTCCAGCCTGGAGGTTTCCTGGGCTGGTCTCAGCTGCGCTTAAGGGGGTGAGAAGTGGGAAGTACCATCACCACCAGAGGTCAAGCTCCCACATCCAGTGTGACATAAATAAAAAAATAAATAGTGTTTGTCCTATCTTCTCCCCCATCCCATCCCTTTATAAAAACACAAAGTCCTCAGAGCTGGGGCGCTTCGCCTTGAGGAGCCGCCCAGTGCAAGGGAGCTGCAGAGTTGGCTGGGAGCCGAGGTTGTCTAGGCTGTGGTCCTGAGCATGGCCCTCGGCCAGGGTGAACATGGGGTACCGCTGTGTGGCCGCGGAGGAGCTGAGGACCTGGTGGGAGGAGGGAGAAAGCAGCTCAGTACCAAAAGCAGTCGCCAGTTACCCCATAGGCACAGTTATTCTAATAGGTATATTTATAAGGTGCTTCCTGAACACTCCCATCCCTCCAGGGCAGTGACCCAGGCCAATCAATCAGCACCTTCTACTCCCCAGGACAGTGATGGACTCTGATCGGCATGTGCCCCAATGCAGACAATGAAAGGCAGCCCTGGGATTTCACTCTGCTGGGAGAGTAGGGTTCCCTTCCCACGAACTGGGAGGTAGGTGCCCAGAGTGGCTGACAGCTGACCCTGGCCACAAGGTAAAGCCTTGATGGGATGGACAGTAGAGCCAAGAGACAGGGAGGGTCCTGTCCTTGAGCTCCTGAATGCTGCTGTCCTCCAAGGCAGCAAAGCCCCTAACTTTTCATATTCCCCTTTTGGGTCTATTCAAAGCTGGGCTTTTGTAACACGGACAGGATGATAACCTTGACAACACAGCCTGGAGGCAAACCTCCCCAGGTCTGCTGGCCTGGAGGCCTCTGTCCGTTCTCCCCTCCAGCCCTGACTCTCCCACACCTTCCACCGGTCCTCTTGCTCACCCTGGTCAGCTCTGAGCACAGTGTCTCAAACTCCTTCCTGTTTCCAGCATAGAACCCCACAGTACAGCTGGGGTCCATCTTGGTGAAGGCCATCTTGCGGGGTGAGGTGCAATGGAAGGACTGAGGCAGACAAAGAAGGGGAGCTCAGGGGGGCCCAACTTCCTCCACATGCCCCCAACCCCACTCTGGGGATACCAGCTCACCTCCAGGGGGAAGTCAGCCTGGCTGACATCCACAGTGGGCTGGCAGTAGTGGGGGTCCAGGTAGAGCAGGGAGTCATCTGCAGGGGAGGAGGTGTAAGTGGGGCTGGGGAAGGGGGAGGTGAGGTAGGATGGAATGTGATGGAGCAGGCCTACCCTGGTAGCCGATGAAATACAGCGAGTGCCGCGGCTTGCCCCCCATAATGCCCAGGCACAGCTCTGAACGCAGGAGCTCCTACAGGGAGGAGAGTGGGCAAAGGTGAGAACTCAGGGCAGGTGCTGTCAGTCAGTCTGTCAACAAATACTTAGCAAACACCCAATGTGTGCGAACCTAGGCGTGTGCTGGGCCCTGGGGGGCAGCAGTGACTAAGGTACTATCTATGGAGCTGACATGTGTTAGACAAGGAACAAGATGAGTGAGTTATGTGTTGGAAAGTGACTGCACTGGGGAAAGAAGAAAGGAGGTAAGGGAGCCTTGAAATTATAAATAGAGGAATCAGGAAAGGCCTCACTGGGAGGTGATGTTTCAGCATCTTGGGAAACAGCAAGTGCAAAGGCCCTGAGGCAGGTGTGTTCTAAGGACAGTAAGGAGGTCCATGTGGGTGCCGCGGAGTGAGTGAGGAGAGTGGGAGCAGATGAGGTGAAGGAAGGGACAGGGTCCAGGGTCCTGTGGGCTGTGGGGAGAGCTCTGGCCTTTATTCTGAGTGTAAACACACCAGGGTCTTTCCAGCCTTGCTGTTCCCTTTGCCTGGAACACTCCTCCTCTGGCTCTTCATGTGCCCTGGCAAGAGAGGGGCTTTCCTCGGTTGTGCAGCCACCCCCATCTGCCCTTCATCACTAGTTTTCGTTCCTTTACAGTCCGAGTTGTAACTCCCAGGCTGTCTACTTGGTTCCAGATTCACTGCCTGTCATTAGAATGTTCACCCCCCAAAAGGCACAAATTTTTGCCTGTTTATGTCTGAATCCTCAGCAGCTGAGAGAGCAGTTGGCACATGATAGGTGCCCTGTGACTATTGGATAAACAGATGAAGGAAGCACACATACCTAACCCAAACTGAAAGAACCCAGAGGGCTTCTGGGGGAGACGTGGTGTATCTGGCTGAACCTACCTTCACGCAGGGCACATACACGGGATTGAGGGTCTCCCCACCCAGCCGCACAGGCACCAGGATGACCACAGACTTCCACTCCGCTGTGCAGTCCGGCCGAGCCACCAAGCGGGCCACATCTGCTTTGTACACTGGAAGGGCAGGGCGGAAGGTCATCTTGCTAACCTTCAAGCTTCAGAGTGTGACCCTCCAACCCCAGGGTCCAATCTCATCCAAGCAACCCCTTGGGGGTGACACTCCCATTGTCAGTGGAGAAGGAAGTATTCCCAGAACCCCCAAACTCCCCTAGACAATCCCAGGGCCCCCATTTCACAGAGAGCAACCAAGACCCTAAGAGTCGGATGAAGAACGTACTGCCAGGAGGAGGTGGAGCCTTCCCCAAAGCCTGGAGCCTATCCCCAATCCCAGGCCCCACTGGTCCTCACTGACTCGGTTTCTGGGTTTGCCAATACGGAAATGGGAGCACAGAGCAGTCCTCAACCAATGTCCCTGTGTGTCCCTCCTACTCAAGTCTTATCTGCAGCTGTCCATTCTCCCCCTTCTTCCTTGCTGGTACCCAGAGAAGTGGATCCAACCCTTTCTGGAGACACAGCTGCTATGATCTGAATGCTAGAGTCCCCTAAAATTTGTATGTAGAAATCCTAATCCCAAGGTGATAGCCTTTGAGAGGTGATTATGTCATTTGAGGCTGGACCCCTCAGGAATGGGATAAGTGCTCTTATAAAAGAGGTACCCCCCCAATTTTTAAAAACGATGTATATTGACAGATGTTAACTAGATTTAGTGTGGTAATCATTTCACAATGTTCAGGGTGGGGCAAGAGTAGGTATACAGTCATGAGTATATGAAACAGAGCTTACTCTTGTACTATTATTAATTGCATTATTTTCCATATGAACAACTGTAAACTTTTGCTCCACCCTGTACACAAATATCAAATCATGATATTATATACCTGAAACTAATATATTGTTATAGGTCAGTTATACCTGAACGGAAAAACGAAACAAAAATGAGACCCCAGAGAGCTTGCTTGCCCAATCTGACATGTGAGCACACAGCAAAGCAAGCCAGGGAATGGGCTCCCACTGACACCAAATCTGTCTGCATCTTGATCTTGGACTTTCCAGCCTGAGAATTATGAAAAATAAATTCCTGTTGTTTATAAGCCACCTGGTCTGTGCTATTTTTGTTGTAGCAGCCTAAACAGATTAAGACACTAGCTCTCTGTGAAAATCGAACCTTGTCCCAAACCCCTACAATTTTCATAAAAATTTAGTTTTTGTAGCTTCCCTGATACCAATTCTTTTATTTTTTAAAATATTTTTATTGATATCAGAGAGGAAGGGAGAGGGGGAGAGAGATAGAAACATCAATGATGAAGAGAATCATTGATCGGCTGCCTCATGCACGCCCCCTACTGGGCATCGAGCCCACACCCAGACCTGTGCCCTTGACCAGAATCGAACCTGGGACCTTTCAGTCTGTTCGCTGACGCTCTATCCACTGAGCCAAACCAGCGAGGGCTCACTTAGTTCTTATAACAACACTACAAGGCAGAGAAGACCAGACTTTTGTACATGTTAGAGCTGTTTACAGTAAGAGTTAAAAGTCCTTAAGTCCTTTATTCTATCCTTGTGGAGAAGCCCCTGAAGCTTGCTCTCCTGGATCTAGAGGCAGTAGAGGGATCCTGAGCATCTGTCCCAAGTAGGCCTTGAATCCTTTCCAAGGGTCCCTCTGGCCCAGAACTGTTTCAGCCCGAGAAAGGCGGGTCCTCAGAGGCAGCCGCAGTAGTGACTGGCTCTGGATGAGAACCCCATGACCTTGGCTAGCAGCCCCTTACCTGTGCAATCCTGAGACACGTACACCACCAGGCGGGTGACCTCTGAGCAGCTCTCCACAGCTTTCCTGGGGGCCGGAAGAAAGGCTTGAGTTCCCTGGGGTACCCAGTGGCTCCCGTGTCCCCTGCCGTGGTCCTCACCTGAGAATATGTGCCACAAGAGATGGCCCATACCAGTCACCTGCCTTCTTGCCCCAGCTCTGTCCGAGCTCCACCAGCTGGTGTAGGCCGAAGGGGGCTTGGGGGTGGTCGGCGAACCAGGACACAATCTGCCGATGCCAGCGTTCCTGCTCCAGCTCAGGGGCGCCCTGGGCCCAGCGTGGGGGCTTCCAGTGGGCAAGCCCGTGGTGCCGGTTGGGAGAGGCCAACCCTGATGGCTCAGGGGGGCTCAGGCCTGCACCCTCCGCCCATGTCCAGTCTGGTGGGATGGAATCAATAGTCAACCAGTGCCAGTGTGTGGGGGTCACAGTTCCCATTTACTCATGCTTTACACCCAATTCTAATGCCCCTGAGACTGCACGTTTAACAATTCTCACATTCCTGAAACATAAACAACTCTAACTCCCCCGGGGCAGAACTTACTTTCTACGTAATTCTGACGTGACTTTAAACTTTATTTACAAACAATTCTCACCCTGCTGACTTATGCGGTTGGCTCATAGCCTGGTGTGCCCTGCCCCCTCCGCCTCTCACCTCTGGGCAGGAAATGCAGCAGGAGGCCCTGTGCCAGCATCATCTGCCCACTTCGCAACATGCAGCCCCAGCCACAGTCGGAGGTCAGGCAGCCCCCAGCCAAGGGCGGGAAGTCCCGGCGGTAGGTGAGCCACAGGCGGGACGCGAAGTCCCGCTGGAAACGCTGGATGTCACCTGTAAGAGCAGGTGTGTCAGCGGCCACACAGACACCTGGGGGGGGGGGGCTCCCCCAACTCTGGCCTGGGGCCGCCAGCTCACCCTCACTCTCGAAGCAGTAGCGGCGGCCACAGAGGTGGACGCTGGAGATCTTGCTGAAGCTGGTCCGGCTTTTGACTGTCCAACCTGTGGAGCAGCAGCGAGAGGGCGGTTCTCACACAGTCGTCATGGCAGCGACGGCTCCCGTCGGTGAAACGGGGACCATCCCCCCCGCCGGCTCAGGGTGGCCCCGGGGAACCCAGCCCCCGTCCTCTC